AATATTATATTGCCCATTGAGAAGTTATTGTTAAAGTTATTGGAATCTGTGGTTTTGTTTCTCTTTGTATCTCCGTTTTAAAGTTTATCGGAGACTGAAGAACATGCGTGAAAATTCGGCGAACGTTAGTGGAAATATGTATTATATTATTAAATATTATGAGAATATTCAATAGAAAAAAAGACCATTGATAGATAATTCTTAACGACATAAACTAAATAACTAAAACTTAATGTTCTAACTTCACTTTTTTATAAACCGTAAAAAATCCTACAAGAAAAATGTATCTGTATTTGCTAAAATATATTGGCCTCATTAAGAGCTAATACAACCTAACCATATATATTAGACTGTATTTAAGAAAAAATTGTTTATTCCCAAACCCCTCCAATCGATAATAGCTTATTCAAATAAGAAATCCCTCAAAACTTCTTAGCCTAACTCTAAGTACTTCCTCGTAAATTTATTTTTTGCATTTAATTAGCATGGGAAATTTTACTTTTTGATTTAAAAAATTTAATCTTAAAAAAGGATCAAAACTTATAAAAATTTAAAAAAAATATTAAAGCTGAAATATGACAGTTGAAAATCACTCTCTTAATACTTCACGATAAAAATAGTTTTTATAAAATTACAGCCCATCGAGTCTGATAAAACTGATTATTATAAATTACTACTTGCTATAAAAAAAATACGAAATATTAAACAATAATTTACACGAAATATCAAAAAAATAAAAATATTTAAGTGTCGTATTGTAAATAGAATCTTTTTCAAGTTATAAAAATGTTGATTGGTTTTTTCAAGTTAGAATTTTTTTTTAACGAATTCAAAATTTCCGTAAAAATCATATGCAAAAAAACATGAGGAATTAATTAGAGTTGAGTTGGGAATCTAAAATTTGACGGATGTATTTTTTAAATAGCAAAATCTTAATTTAGTGTTTAAACTCTATAGTGCTTTGGTATCACTACAGTAATGATAACTCTTTATTTGTTGTTGTCATTGAACAAATAAAATGACAATTATTTTCCATCAAAATATATATTTGCGTGAATCAAAACAAAAGTGTGTTGGAATTGTAAAACAACCAAATTTCCATCATAACTACAGGAAAACATTATCTGTGCTTAAGCGTTTTTTAATTTTCGATTACTCAATCCACTAATTTTGAATAATTTATTGAAAAATATAATAAACTTTAAACGTTTGCAGAAAAAATAATATTCGTTTTATCAAAAAATTGCCACGCTTAAGCAAAGCTAAAATTCTCCTTTATTTTTCCATGAAAATTTGGTTGTGTGTAATACTACCACAGCCTCTATAGTATTGATTCGGATTAACCCTGTTTTACACTATAAATTAGGGGTGGGTAGCGTCATCCAAAGTGAGATCTATGGTTAATGTTAATGGAAGAACAATTACTATTCATTTCTAAAATAGTGCTCTATATGTGCTCTGTATGTGTTATTAAACTTGTACAACTCGTATTTCAACCCCAATTAAAATAATTAAACTTAAATAAAGATAAACATCACACCCGAGCCTTATGATAATATATACAAATGTATAGGAAAAGGTAAAAGCACTAAGCAAACAACGGTCGACTCTATTAACGAGTTGCCTGTTCTAACTATGGACCGTAGCAAAGTAATTCTATTCAGTCAAACTATGCTTGTCGTTTGAACTTTTCTAATTTTGTTTATTTTGAGAAAAGTATCCAAATCTAATCTTCTTCAACGATGTATTTTCGTGGTAACCCAAGAAAAAAAATTAAGTTTTTATTATTATTATTGAGAGTTATTTATAAAGTTTTCATCTCGATAGTTACATTATGAAATCTGAAATAAGTATACAATACAATATGCACAAGTACAACTACAAATTGCAATTTATAATTTTATAATTTTGCAGTGTAACAAATGAAGACTAGGTTAATCAGTGGGGTAGTCGTAAAGGTTAGAAGACAAAATCACTGTAAAAATGTGTTAGTTTTATATATATATATATATATATATATATATATATGTGTGTGTGTTTTCAGATTTATTTCTATATATTATCTTGATACCATAGAAAATCGCAAATGAAAAATTTCATTTTTTGCAATTACAGAAGTGTATGAAATAAGTGTTCCAGCATAGAACTATTGTAATATCAATGTAACACACAGTAATGTGCATGCGCTCTATCGATTTTAACAAAAGTTTTTTTTTTAATTCTTTTTATTCCCCTTTGAGTCGTAGTGGTTTATATTTTGCACTTTTACAATGTATTTTCGAGTTATTCGACTCATAGTTTGTTGTACCAAAAAATTTGCCAAGTCCACAACATTATAGCGAAATTGTTTTTACCAGCCACCACTTGATACCTTGTATATTCTCCAGAGATATATTTTTTGCCAATAACAAAGTCACGCATTCGTTATAAATCAACCGTGTAACGCCATAAACGTATTACCTATGTATTATTCAAACCCCAACGAGGTGTGATGATATTTTGAAATATGTTTTGTTATTTACTGGACGCGAGCCGAGTTGAAAATAATTGAGTTTTAGTAGAACATAATATATGGTAAAAAATAATACAAACAGCTACTCTTCGAGTGGGTCAATGTTATTATGGTATTTAGTATTATAGATTAAACCGTCAACACTTGGATCATATTAAATTTCAATACTGTTAAGAATTATTATATTATTTATAAAAATTTCACTGACTGTTCACAAACAATAAAAAAAACGTCATTCCTGTAAGTTTCTTAAAAATTCAAGCAAACTTATCATAATCTCACAATTTGATTAAAAAATGTGATTTCTGTTAGTATTAAACTAGTTAAATTCCGTTCAAAATCAATAGATGGCGCAATAATAATTAGATTTGTCACTCACACATGGCACAGCCTATCCTAATTTTTTATGCTTTTGTATTTTCATAAATACTGTTGACAAATCGATTTTTCATAATTATCACTTCTCACTTGTTATTTACTTAAAGGCCTTACTAAAAAGCCGTGTCTTACGTACTAATTTTAAGAATTTTCGTGATTTTAAAATAAAATATTATTTATTTTTTAATATATCAATAATAAATTATTGGAATTTTATTGCACCGATTGTTTACAATAAAATTTAAAAAAACATGTTATTAGACTTTCTCGCGTAATGGACTTGGATAGTAAATTAAAAAAACATCATTTAAATATTCTACTTCATGTCACTGGAAACATTTAAATTTACCTCTCGATTATGCACTATTTGAAATTAAAATTTTTCAAATATAATGAATATTATTTGAAGGGTCCAATGGATACATGACATAAAGAAATTGTTTAAAATGTTTTATAGTGAACATAGTAATTACATATTGATGTACTCGGTGCTATTGTCTTTATGAAAATATGCATATTTTCATAAATATTAATGTAATTGTTGAATTTTATTAGTTAATTTTGTATTTTTCCTACCGTCCAACTTACCTGCCATCAGCGTTTTTCAACTAATGAGGGACCTCGCGGGTTTGAGTGAAAATAATATCGTGGTGGGCCTATGCCCCGTGAATGCTCGTCGCCGATTTCTCACTTTGCCATTTTAGCCGCCGCCGGCAATCTTCCGAAAAACGTCGGGTATAATTTTAAATGAGCGAGATGGAAGTGGAGGTGCACACAAATCTGACAGACGAGGGGACGATGGTGGGTACTCCCTACGAAGCTGGAAGACCGGGGAACAGCGGGTATGGAGAGGGAGACTCGTAGCCTGGAAGGTGAGGGGAAATATTGAGAGATGTGCTGCCATTGGTCGAAACACCAGCATTAGCCCTGCAAAGTAAACGCCTACTCTAGCGCACAGTAACATAGGACAACCGCGTGAGTGTGTGTACAAGCGAACATAGAAACTTGTACGTTTGAGGCGGCCCGTCTGCGTGCGCTTCGGTTTGTCGGAGAAAAAGTTGACCGAAACGTGCCTGCGCGTTTGTATGACCCTCCTGAGTCTTGCAGCGACACCGAAGGACTTGAACTGTGCACTCGCAGACGCTCGCTATTCGCTCATCGACTCAGTGCCATTACGGACGAAGGGTGTTGCATCTTAAGTTTTTCGCCGAGAATACTGATGTTTCACCTTTTGCCTATCATTCATATTTTGAATCAGTTGTTTGTGGCTATAACGGTAGTCATTTCTAAAGTGGCCCAATCGTTTACGGGATCTTATTGGATCTGCGTCTATTTCGCGGTATACTTTACCGAAAGAGTTTTCGGGAATTTCGAGGACGAACAGCTGGACGAAGAGCAGGGCGAACAACCGGACGAACAACCGGACGAACAACCGACCGGAGAAGACTACACTGGGCATTTTATCGTGTAAACATGACGTACACAGAGGCGCTATATTACATCTTATTGTCCTTGGCCATATTCACGGTGGACTATTATTGGGCTACCGCTCATACAATTTTAATCATTATTAACTTTCTGGTAATCGCGGCGGATTTTACATTATGCATATACGTCTACACTGCGTACTTTGAGATATACTTACTGGAATGGTACGAGCGCACACGTCTACGGGCTAGGGCCGATCGTATTCGCATGCACCTCGGGGTGCAATGCTCTCACGGGGTCTTAAACCAATAATCTTTCTTTTCTTTCTATCTACTTCATAACCCGCCACTATCACTGTCTTCTTCTGTTTTCTATCGAGCGTTTTTTCCTACTAATTAGTGTGCCTAACTTCTCCGGGTCCTAGTTTACTCCATCAAACTATCGCTTCTTTGGATATATTCCTCGTCACGTGGCCGAATCATACGATTATCTGCACTTACACAAAATTATTTATATATTTAATAACGTTAATATAAATTTTTAAATAAAATTAATTGTCTCGCGTGCACCGCTTTGCCCCTTCGCATCGTTTATTCGATTTACAGGTACGACATAACCATATAACACAACAACATACAACATTATAATCCTGTGAGTAACGTGTATATTGTATTTTCCGCAGCTTTGACGGCCATCCCTAAGGTGGTTTTGCAAACGATTCACTCTCTGAAGCTCCAACATGAGACACCCTCGTGGAAAGTGGCGTACAACAAAGGCCGTGTTACGGTGGTCCTGTATTGGGACCAACGTTCCACACACGGCCCACAGGAGTCGTCAGCCAGGCGAGAGCAACAGCCGAGCACTTCCGGCGCGGCCACGCCACCCCTCGTCGCACCTAACATCAGACTTGGTGATTTTCCCAAATCAAACGAGTCGAGTGTGCCGGCGACACGCGGCCAAGCAGCACGTACACCCGTGCCGCACGTCGTGGTAATGCCATCGCAAACCATCCCAGGTAAATAAAATATTGAAATTTAATTATCGCTGTAGTTTTGTCGTTAAACCGAATAATAAATGTTAAGCTGTGCTTTAGTATTAATAAGCGGTAATCTCGCGAGGGGGCGACCACTGGTGTAAATAATGTAAAAATATTGAAAACTATAAAGACTGGTGTGTTTGTTAGGCGAAACGCATACAAAATTAACAATCGATCGGCTCAAAATAGGGATAAAATAAAATTAACGACAATATTATAACCGTAAAACGACGTTATTCCGAAAATTCTTACAATAATTAAAAAACAATTATTTAGTTCGTTTATGTTATATCCCCTCTACCCCCCCTACACTCCCCTTTTCCCTCTCATTACGATCTCTTTTTCCTCCCATCTCTTCTCCTTCCAACCCATCACGTTCCCCTCTCCTCCCCTCCCATCACACACACATTCCCCTCTCTTCCCTTTCAGCACGTTCCTTTCTTCCCCTTCCCTCATTCCCCCTTCCCTTCTCCTCCCATCCTATCACGTTTCCCTCATTCCCTCACCTCATTCCCCCTTCCCTTTTCCCTCATCCCTCATTCCCATCACGTTCCCCTCATTCCCTCACCTCATTCCCTCACCTCATTCCCTCACCTCATTCCCTCACCTCATTCCCCCTTCCCTTTTCCTCCCATCCCATCACGTTTCCCTCATTCCCTCACCTCATTCCCCCTTCCGTTCTCCTCCCATCCCATCTCGTTCCCCTCATTCCCTCACCTCATTCCCTCTTCCCTTCTCCTCCCACCCCATCACTTTCCCTTCCCTTCCCTTCTCCCCCACCCCACCACGTCCCTTTCATTCCCCCTCCTCACTTATCCCTTCCCTTCTCCTTTCCTCCCATTACGTTTCCCTTATCTTCCTTTTTACTTTCCTCACTTTCACTATCTTCTCCTCCTGAAATATCTTTAAATTTCAACATCAAATCAATTCGTTGTCATAATACAACGTTTAGCAGTATATTGGTTAAAATCGGTTTTCAAGGTCAGTTATCAGATATATCGATTGTGGTTTTATTTTTGAACCAATTTTTTTTTTATTAACCGGTTTGAATAATTATTACCAGTTAGCATATTATATAAAAGTGAGGAAAACGGTTTCCAGTCTTCCAGAGTACCCTAATATGCCTGTTGCCCTAACAATGTTCTATTTATAGATATAGATATAGATGTAGATGTAGATATAGATATAGATACGTTTTTTTTAGCATTTTTAAAAAATATTAGTTCTTCGATCACATGCAGACCCAAAATTACATCAACTTCTCGTAACACAATTTTTACTGTCGATTAAAAATCTTAATTCCGTACATTAGCAAAATAAAAATCAGTACTTCCAGAAGCGTGAAAAATACATTTACATGACCCACATTATTTTGCTTGAAGAGCGGAAATCTCTTAGAAACGTTTGCAGTATTTCTAATTTTTTTAATCAAAACCAATGAGTTATCTTATTTTTTGGTTTAATACTTAGATTAATATATTATATGATTAACAAATTTCAATTTAAGAAAAACTGATTTTAACTGGTTTTTATAAAACCTGTTTTGGTTTCTGAAAAAACTCTGAATTTTCTAATGAATCATTCGAATAACTCCTTTCACAGTTAATTCTTTTACATATTGGACGGAGAAAAAGCTACAGAAATGTTGATACGATTGTAAGAACCAGGATTAAAAATCATTTGAACTCTTATGGTTTTGGTTTCGGTTAGTGAAACCGGTTTTTGGGAAAAAATGCTTTTTATTCTGGTTAATTTAACCAGAATAAAAAATAAGGTACTGTTCTGATTATTGAAACTGGTTTTCAATTTAGGTAATATAATATTGGTTTTATTTTTGTAATTGAAACCGGTTTAGGCAATCCGTGACTTATGGAAAACTCTTCATTAATAATATACTTCTGAATACTGCATTGCCTTCTGTCTGAGACATTTTATTGTAATCTATATGCTTTACCTCATATTATACCCAATTACTTTATATACAACAGGTTTATAGTTTTCAAAACCAGTTCTTGACAAAGGAACCATTCTCGGTTTTGATTTTAGACACCGTGCTAAATACATATTAGTTTTTATTTTGATTTTAAAGTAAAATTATTTTTAAAATAGAGTTGCTATTCGAAGGAATTGGTCCAGTATTAAAGAAGTTACAGTGTATACAGATAAAAAAAAACATACATCAGAGTAAAACCAATACCTTCTCGCTTTGCATCGAAGCTAAAATGTACATTATGGTCTAGGTTTGACTTTATACCCGATTTCAAATGGTTTTGGATTTGGTTTTAAAACCCAATTTTATACTTTTTTATCAGTTTGGATTGGTCTAATTACTGAAACAAATTTTTCATAAACTAGTTCAAGTTCTAATACAAGGTCTTGTGAAACAGACCAGTCTAGGTCTGTACAAAAAACGACATATTCACCACTTCATGGAAAAACAATGAATTATGGATATGTTTTTGGGCCATCCCCACCACCGGTGTTCGTTCATGTTCATTTTCATTTTCCTCTTTCTACAATATCTCGCCTTCTCGTCGCCTCCCTCCATTTACAATCTCTTTCTCTACAATTGCCACCCCTCTCCTCCATTTATCACTAATCTATATCTGTATTATACCACGAGCCATTATCAGCTGAATATTATCATTATTCTCTTATCACTAATCCCTTATCAGCTATCTCTCTTCAGTATCTGAAATCAGCTGTTTCTTATCACATTCGGGAAAACGGAAAATTAATAATGCTAATTCCAGATAGATCCCCTGCTCTAAAACATATCCATATTAGGAACAAAAAAAACCTACAGGATACAAAGATTTCTCCGCTACATGAAGAAACATATATAAGCTTTTAGATATGGATATGCTTTCCCCCGCTCCCCCCTAACCTATCCAATGGTTTTCCATCCAACCTAACCTTGCCTATCTAATCCAGGGTCTTGGACATTTTGCCGCCCCCGTTTCTACGCCACCATTCGCCACCCCGTTTCACCGCCACCGTTTCGCCACCAGACATTTCACCGCCAGCCGATTTGATGTCACCGATTCACCGCCAGGCCAAGATAAAATTTAAAAAATATATGCACTTTTTCTTGTAGTCTTTGTTGTATAATAATCAACAATAGTTATGATTAGCAAATGTAGATTATTGCAAATAAATATTATATTATAATATTATTATATTATATTTATGAACAATTAAATAGTAGCATTTCAAAATTATAATGATTGTTGATCTTTATCCTTTATAACTATATAAATAAACAAGTTAGAAAAAAAAAGTAAAACAAATAGAAATTTCATAATAATAAATATAATTAAAACAAGCCAATTAAATCGAAAGGCCAGAGCTATTCATTTTAAAAAAATGCCAAGATCCAAGAGTGTGTTTAGTATGTTGACCGTAAAGAGAGGAAAAATGTTTTAAAAGAGAAAAAGTTAAATTTAGAGAATTTTTTATCGACCATGACGAGTAGATTATAAAACAGAGAGACAAGCAGCAAATAGCTTATCATTTTTATGGAACATATTAAGTGATAGGAAAAAGCGTGGGACGGTAAGAGATTATGGCCAAATGTATGATGAAAACAGAAGGATATAGCATTTCTGGAGTTACCTAATTAATAGAACCAAAGGTGAAATGAGGTAGAAGGGGAACTCGATCAGTACCAGTATGTAGAACTGAGGTTTACTTTAAACTACTTGTCTTATCATTAGTGACAGTTTTACGAAAAAAGCGAAAGAAATAGATGGAGTGAAAATGAGTTTGCAAGCTAGTTACCAGTAATTACATGGTAGCCTGAGATCTAATGAAAGAGGGTATGAGGCTCTGTTCATGCCTTTGACTCCGTTCATGTACCTACCTTATCCTACCTACCTATCATAATAATGATTCTGATTATGTACCTGTAAGCAAATATTTGTACATATCAAATAATTATACTATTGAATCTACGAGACTACTAGGTAATTATTGAGATTGAAATACTACATTTGCTCGACTGCGGTACAAGGCACAATGGTGTAATTTAGTGTAAGGTGCTTGAATGTCGTTGAGTTCAATTCTTCCAGACTCTAAGCTAAGACTTTTGCAATTTTTTTCTAACTGTTATTATCGAATTGTTTTTAACCTCCAAGCAGGTGTACATTAAAAAATCTAGTTGGCGATCACGCTTTGGTGTTTATACCGTCATTTAATTTTTGAACCAAAAGTTACCTAACCTAACCGCATACTTGAGTGCTTAGAGGTTATAATGCAGATAATGTTTTGTAAATATGTATTTATTTTTCCATTTAATTTTCAACTTCCACACAAATAAGTATAAAGTATTCATACGCACACTACCTTTAATTACAAAAGTATTTTTTTTTCTGCGGTGAGAAACATATTATAATAAATAAAATCACTTTCAAATAAACACTTAGTACGAATCTGTGTTGGTAAACGTGAATAACGTATAATCATAACCATAATATATAATAAATGTAGGTACAGAAAAATCAAATACAAAATTATAATGAATAAATAGAATGATAGTTCCTAGACGGATTCGCTGTCCCGGACAGGTCGTCACAGTCCGAACCCGGCGACAGTGTGTGCTGGCACACTGCCACCTTACCCACTCGGCCACTCGTCTTCCTCCCCGCCTAGACATATTGTAAATAGTATATCCAGTATACGTATTGGTTATGGTATGTACCTACAATTTTTTTTTATACCTTCCCGCTTCCGAAACGTGCGGGTCCGTCTAATCCAAATCTAACTTATACCTAACTGATCTCTTATCACTGATTCTTTATCAACTGTTCCTCATCAATGTCGGGAAATTTATGACGAAATTCCAAATAGACCAAGACGTGTCCATGTTAAAATTATTGTTTTCGTACAGGTTTCCATTGGACATTGCCCAGACAGGGTAGTTCCATGGAGGCGGCCGCCATCCACGTACACACTCCGGAATGCGCTTACAATGCGCACCGACCTGCCGCCGGCGGTTCATCGCGGTCGTCCAGCCCGACTCTTGGCATGCCGTCCACGCCAATCTTCCACCCGTCGTTCCCCGGCCACAAGCCCGGATGCGACTTCCACTGCTGCTCTGTGTTCGTGTCCCGCCGGCGTCCTAGGTCAGTGACCATATCGCCCATCCAAATCAGTCAAGAACTGCCGCCGCCGCCCGGCTTTCAAGAGCCACCGCTCGACTTCCAACAGCGGCCACTGCCACCACCGCCCCAACAGTCTGCACTGGCGGACGGCACGCGTCGTCCGTCGCCCAAAGCACACGTCCATTTTTTGGACGCCGCCGATACCATACTGCCACCGCCGCTGCTCCTGCCGCCCCCGTTGTCGGCTGGTAGACACCACGTAGAAACCGACGACGATATAAGCGGTTATGATGTGATCGAGGAAGGCGCCGTCGGCTACGACACGGTCGAGATCAACGCCGCCGGTGTCGTCCGGTCGGACAGCTCGGAAACAGACACGACAGTAATCGAAGGCAACTCGATGACGTACGACATGGTTTTGGCGCTCATCGACGAGTCGGAACCCGGACATCCGGATTTGACCATCGAGGATATTGGTTTCTTCTTGAAGAATCTCGACTACACAATTATAGACGTCAATCAGCTACAACGCGTCGGCATAAAGGACTGGGTGTTGAAGGCTACCATACAGAGCAGGAAACGCATCAACCTGTGCATCATACACGGCGACGGATATTACAGACTGTTCGAGCATCCGAAATACCCTTTGGAAGGCGTGGCCACAGAAGCCATCGATTGTACAACGGAGGATCTCAATGACGACGAAGAGGTGAAAATTTGAGATAACCAATTATTAACGTTTGCTCTGCACTAGCTGAAACATCATTACGGCTTAAAGTAATAATAGTTTTTTTTTAATATTTCAAATAATAATAATACAATTTAAGTATATTGATACATATATAAAATAAGTAATATCCCAAGTGGATTATATTAGGTTGATTACGTACTTAGCAATATCGCTTGGATTTGTTTTGAAAAATACTGTTGTAGACGTACTGACATTTTTCAACAATAACGGCTTTTATATTAATTTTCAATTGGAGACATTAAAAAAAATGTATTAATGTATTACTATTAACTAAGCAATCGAATGCAACATTGATGAGGAATTTCGAACTAATATAATACATTTTAATCAAATATTAAAAAACCTTTAACAAAAATACACAGGAACCAAATGATAATAATTTCGTTCCCCGTGAAAATTTGGTAATGCAATTTTAGCTTTGACGCAAAACTGAGAAGGTGTCGATATTTCTTTTTAATAGAATACATTTATCTAATTTGCTTACAATTACCCTTTGCACTGGAATCTATCATTAAAAGATTTTATTAAATATTGAACTGTTCCTAGTTTTAAATCATCGTCATTTATCTTGCTAAACAGTCTATATACCTACACAAAGAAAAACTTTTTTTTTTATAGCTTCGATTTATGATTCTATGAATAACAGTTTATCCCACTAGGTACCTAACACTACTACAGGTCCATCTGTATGGAAGTAGAACGTTCATGGCCCCTTCTCATTTTTACATTGAATGTTATTCTTGCCAAAGCCAAAGTAAATAGAAATCATATGTTGTTATTTTGATATGTATATATGTATACACGGTATATATTATAAATATATCGAAAAGTTTTCGATTGCCAAAATTTGATAACTAACAAACAAATAATACCTTCTGAAGCAACAGGATGTAAAGGGTGGGGCGATGGAAAGAGCGATTTTCCAATGTGTTAAATGGGAAAAATCGTTCTTTACATTACTCGACCCTTTACATAAACAACTTTATTAATAAAATAATATAAAGCAAGCTACCCATTAATTTGGGTTTCCAATACAATAACGCATTAGTAGAACCTATACTATTATGGGTTAAAATCATAGGCGGAAATTTAGGAGGAACAGGTATACTCCAAACACTGCAAGTTGAAAATAAGATTCTTAAATAGGCATATTCAACGAATCTCTCACTAAAAAAAAACATAAGTATTTTCAATAGCATTAACTTAAGGTTTTAATTATCTTAGGACCGTTTGCACCTATAATTAAACTTGAAATAGAGTTTAACCTATAGTTTCAATATTGTTAAACTACCCTTAAAATGTAAGCATAGTGCACACGGTCATTAGTTACTCAAATCTCGTCCCCCTAACTTTCCACCAATGATTAACATATATTTATACTTTAATAATTTAGTATAGAAAATAATATATCATGAATACGGTAAGATAAAATTATTTGTTATGTAGTTTACAAAATTACAAGTTGTTAATTTACCAATGATTAATACTTTTTAATGTACTACTAGCGCAGAATGTAAAGATAATAATTCTGAATTTAAAAATTTGTCTTTAAATTGATCAGATTAATTTTTTCCAGCACTAGATCTGTTAGTCCAACAGGGAAATTTTAATAAAACCCGACTACATTTCAATTTAAATTTTAAAACTAACAGTATCGCAGCCAAAATTCACAGTTAAAAAATTAAAATTAGTTAAATTCCCCATTATTATTCTGCTGATGGCTACATTAAAAGGTACCAATTTAAACCGCTTTTATTGATTGTTAATGTTATTATTATCTATTATAAAATACAAATATATTATTGAACGATGTCATATAAAAGTTTAAATTATTACTTATACTTTATTAAATTTATTAATCAATAAAAAGTAAAAAATTATACATATGAATATATATATATATATATATATATATATAATATTGTTAAACAATAAACGTTTTAGAGCACACAATGCGTTATAACACTTCTATTGCCTTTCCTGTGTTTATTGAAAAATGTCTCGAGTTTAGGTAAACAAAAATTATTTAATATCTGGCCCCGTGCCGCAATGTGTAAACGCTATGCAAGCTTTAGGTATAATATAATATTGTTATTGTCACTATAATATATTTCAGCTACCTAGCCTACGTCATATTCTTTCCGTTGAAAATAATGATAGTAAAACAAAATGGTTAAATAGTTTTAATTAAGTAATACATTATTGTAAATGTAGAGACAATAGTTATGGTTTTTTTTTCAAACCATTTAATTTTCAGTTTTTTAATCCAACTGCAAAATTGGCCTATCATTTTTAGCTCTTGCTGTTAATGGTTTTACACAATTACACTAAACGCTCATTACTTCTTTCGAACTTGTCCAAACCTTACTTTATACGGTATTTTCGGCTAGCCGCTCTTTTTTAAATTTCTTGACACTCTAAAACGTAATAGCTCATGGTTACAAAAACTTTTTTTTAATACCCTACATCTGGATCTTTTCATTCTTGACGATGTTCTTTTATTCTACCTTTCTTGAACAACCACCACAAAATTAGAAAAATAGGTACTCAACAAATATTAGTACCTAGTTCATAATCGTTTTGATTACCAGCCATCTGACAACTGGACTTTGGTAGCGTAAAATGTATAAAATAACATAGGTTATATATTTAAAAAAAAAACTTCCCGCAAGGGTACTCAATGTATTGAGTAACGGGTTTGACGACCCCGCGTACCCTAGTCGAAGATGTGCAGTGGCCAAGAATAAACTTCAAGTTTGGAAGTCTCTCCGTGGAAGTCACTTTCACCGTCATAGAGCCACTGGCAAAAGAACTACCGACATTCAGTTCTGCACACATCTTCTTCCGGCACACAAGGTTGGTAGCTATTTGTCCAAAATCATGTCTAATACAAATTGCATTGTTGCCGTTTAATTTAATGTTATTATTTTTTTTTTTTATCGGAAAATTACTACAGACTCTTTGCCGGGACCGGCGACAACGAAACCACTGTGATCCCGAAGACAACAGCTATAATATACACTCAGCTTAAGAGACCGTCGTCGACCACTGACCGACCCAAGTGCACATAACATACAACCTCATTAGAGTACGAATTTTATTTGAAATGTTTAAATGTTTATTTTCTGTTTTTTTTTTTATTAGAAATTTATCGTTCGTTAAAGTCCCACCCCTTCGCCGCTCTTATAAAACTATATCCAAGACGTAGCAACGCATAGGTCCAAGTGCCGCACAAGGCCATCCGTTCTCAGGGACGCAATGGGTACCAGTCGTGGGGAAGGGGAGATTATGGGGGGATAGGGGGTAGGGGGAGAAGTCTAGCAAGAAAACCCTTAGAGTCGAAAACAGCTTCACGCAGGGGTACTCAACGTCATCGAGAGTAACGGGCTTGACGACCCCGCGTACCCTAGTCACCGAGAAACAGTTGCCTGAACGTCCAAAGGCAACACGGTGTCGTACCATCGTGACACACAGTTTCTCACAGCCTTTTCCGTACGCCGCGCCAGCCTCCGAGTTGGCGAGGCAATAGGAGGAATATTAATACGGAAAAAGGCATAATAAAAATGTGTAACACATTTTGAAGGACATCGGTTACAGGGTTTTCTTGTTTTAGATAGGTAATAATAATAGTCGCGCGACAGCACAAGGAAACGAAACTTCCCGTTAGGTTTCCAAGCCGTTTGGAAACTCGACGTGAATTTCTATTTTTTCATGTGCTGTTCGTGTTGACTTTATTTTGTTAACTAGTTCTAAGATCAAGGAAATTAGATTCACAAATGATCTCAGTAGATTTTCTTTATTTTTATAAACGATATCGTTGATTTTGGAATATACACTTAAGCGAATACCCTCGTCCCACACAGAATTGGTCTCTGTGTGTATAGTGACGTTTGTTTGTATATTCTAAAATCAACGATAATAAATTTTATTTTTTTAACACATATAAACTCACAATTTTTCCGTTTATTTCTATCTCTTCATTTTTTTCGAATGGCATCGTGCCAGTAGGGTATTCCCACACAGAATTGGTCTCTGTGTGTACAGTACCGTTAGTTTGTATATTCTATAATCAACCATACAATATATTGTATTTTAAGACATATTATAAACTCACAATTTTTCCGTTTATTTCTATCTCTTCATTTTTTCCCAAATGGCTTCGTGCCAGTATAAAAAAACACGGCCGATACAGGGGTCACTAAGACCATAATAGTTATAATTTATTGTATTTTAGTAGGTTATCTATACCTATATCTTTATCTAATCAATATTTTGTTTTATATATTTATTTAATTAACTTACATACTTATTCACCTAAATACTTATCGATCGATCATATATATTTTAAGGCGTAGTCAGTAGTGTAATAATATTATAAGTAATTATTATTATTGTAGTTTAGAAGGTAGGTAATACATATTTGTTAACTTACACGCGTATTAACCTAAAGCTTTTCGTTTTAAAAATTGTTATTATATATTTACATTTAATCTCTAGAATAGAATAAATTGATAATTAATTTAATAATAATATATAAATATGCATTTTATTGTATAAGTAAGAATATTTTAAATACTTAAGTAGTAAGATTTAGTTGTTCAACTTTAATATCTATTTATTGATAAATTTTAATTACACGCACATATTATACATTTTTAAAAGCACTTATATTACATTCATTTACTCATATATTATATAATTCATTTAACTTTTTCCATTACTTAGCTTTTATAATATTATATTCGCATTTAATCTCTAGAATAGAATAAATTGATAATTAATTCAATAATAATATATAAATATGCATTTTATTGTATAAGTAAGAATATTTTAAATACTTAAGTAGTAAGATTTAGTTGTTTAACTTTAATATCTATTTATTGATAAATTTTAATTACACGCACATGTTATATATTTTTAAAAGCACTTATATTACATTCATTTACTCATATATTATATAATTCATATAACTTTTTCCATTACTTAGCTTTTATAATATTATATTCGCATTTAATCTCTAGAATAGAATAAATTGATAATTAATTCAATAATAATATATAAATATGCATTTTATTGTATAAGTAAGAATATTTTAAATACTTAAGTAGTAAGATTTAGTTGTTCAACTTTAATATCTATTTATTGATAAATTTTAATTACACGCACATATTATACATTTTTAAAAGCACTTATATTACATTCATTTACTCATATATTATTTAATTCATTTAACTTTTTCCATTACTTAACTTTTATAATATTATATTCGCATTTAATCTCTAGAATAGAATAAATTGATAATTAATTCAATAATAATATATAAATATGCATTTTATTGTATAAGTAAGAATATTTTAAATACTTAAGTAGTAAGATTTAGTTGTTCAACTTTAATATCTATTTATTGATAAATTTTAATTACACGCACATATTATACATTTTTAAAAGCACTTATATTACATTCATTTACTCATATATTATTTAATTCATTTAACTTTTTCCATCACTTAGCTTTTATAATATTATATTCGCATTTAATCTCTAGAATAGAATAAATTGATAATTAATTCAATAATAATATATAAATATGCATTTTATTGTATAAGTAAGAATATTTTAAATACTTAAGTAGTAAGATTTAGTTGTTCAACTTTAATATCTATTTATTGATAAATTTTAATTACACACACATATTATACATTTTTAAAAGCACTTATATTACATTCATTTACTCATATATTATATAATTCATTTAACTTTTTCCATTACTTAGCTTTTATAATATTATATTCGCATTTAAATATTTTAACTTTTTACTATTCATAATAATATATTTAAGTATAGTATAAACTAAAATAGTGTTTGTAATCATTGTTGTCATTTAATCATTTAGTATAGTGAAAATACAATTGTAGTGAAGTGCACAAAACAAAATATTGTTTTTTTATTTAAATTTTTAATTAGGTATCTAATTGTGTAAAGCACATTCCTTTCATTAAAGACATTCATACTTAGGATCCGTTAAACCGACAATCAAACACTTGTAAACTTTAACCGAATTTACAAGGAAAGAAAAAAATACTTTATTATCATTCCAATACTTTATTTATAAAGATGATTAAAATTAACTGATGGTTAGTAATTGTCGAATGTATTAAACAGGTAATTATAAATAACAAAAATAAATAATAGTCAGTTTTACAAAATATTACGTTTTATGAAGTTTACCATAAAAGTGCATCAACTAAGATTTTTAATTTGACCAGTAATTATTGCAATGGTAGAGAAGGAGGTCGATATAAAAATATATAGAACGTTAAAATTATAACGGAAAAATTACAGGGAGCTCGTTAACACAGAATCTAGAATGTAGAAAATTGTTTTGGGAATAACCATTGTCTTTATAGTTCAAGTAGTATGTACTAAAAGTACCAACGTGCTATAATATGAAACGGACTTATGAGTTGCATAAGCAAAATGATTAAAATCTATTATTTTTCCTTAAAATATTTTTCGGCAACCCTTAAACTTTAATAATTATCATTTTTGGTCTAAAATACTTAAGTTATCAAAATTATTTTACTTAAAATTTGGCAATGAAACAATGCATTGAAAAAAATATATATATATTAAGTATTTCCAAAAAAATGGCTAAAGAATTTGCAAACAATTTTAGAAAAATCCCTTAAGTTTTATCATAATTCAAAGCTTTTGATTATATTTTATACTAATTTGACTTTACTACTTACTATTATTCATTATAATTACAGCTTAATATTTATATTTTTTTAGAGAAATGTTAAAAAATCAAAAACAAACTCGTATTAATTGTTTATTTATAAATTTAAGTCAAAGGATTTTGTATAGGATATTCCATTATGAAGTTTTAACTTTTTATTTATTATTTTTTTTATTTAAAGAATTTACGTCCGTAAGGGCAACAGCGTATATATACTCATTAAGATAATAGTATTAGAACACAATTAAAATAATACAAATTGTCCTTTAAAAAACCGAAGACTCGAAGGGCTTTGTTACACATTTGAGTGTTATGTTCACGGAACGATAGATCACTAGATAAAATAATACCTAGGTCTTTCACATAATTAAGTTTAACTAAATTAACACCGCCTATTTCATAAGAAAAAGAGTCAGGAGATTTACTAGGAGAGAACGAAAATTGATAGCACTTAGAGGCATTTACGCTGAGGCCATTTATTGTACACCAATTATAAAAGCTATTAAGATCTTCTTGAAGCTTATAGCAACCCAAACGAGAGTTATTATTTGAAAACAACTTCACTTGTACAGTAAATTATTATTATAAGATTGATAGCACTGGTTTTATCGTTTTTACTGTCTATAATTTTTATCTATTTTGCAGTTTTTTGGACGTAATTACTAATTTTTCTTAAAAAAAATACAAATTAAGTAATTTTATAGATTTATTATTGAAAAGAAATTGGCGGTACGTAACGCGCGCTGATAAAAATAAATCTACGCGGTTTACTCTACCGCACTCCACCCCCGTCATCAGTCATCTTCACTTTCAAATAAATATAATTTTTTTCGCCTATTCTTTTTTAAAAATTATTTTAAACAAAATGGCTATCTTGAAAAAAAATAAAAATATGTAATAAAAAAAAATGAAAAACTATTAAAAAAAGTAAAACAGGTAAGTGCAATAAAAACCACGGTGCTTATAGCGCAAATGAGTATAAATTATTTTTAAAAAAAAATCTCAAAAATATTCACTAGAACAAAAGTTATTTCATTTGTCAAATCTTCGTGGGCCACCCTGTATTTTGGATAAATATATAAAATGTAATTTTTATCTATTTTGCAGTTTTTTGGACGTAATTACTAATTTTTCTTAAAACAAATACAAATTAAGTAATTTTATAGATTTATTATTGACCCTTATGTACATGATATACACAGACCGAGTAAGAGTAAGTCGTCAACAGTCATTTTTTCTTTAAAAAAAATGAAATTATGTAGTTTTTATTGTTGGACCCACTTTAGTTTATGTTATTTTACAATATTACACATTAGTGACATTACTCAAGTATTATCTTTTTGAACTCTATCAACTTTTTAAATTAAGAATAATATTTACTAATTATGTTGTCGATGTTGTCCGTATGGGTCGATTACACATAATATCACATACCATGATATGGTCACATCGTACATCAGTAGTAGATTATACTCAAAAAAACAATGTTTAACAATTTATGAAATACTGTACGAATAGGTATTACTTTTGTACTCGGTACTGTCATTAAACTATTATCTGTATAATCTTGCTAACTCGAGTACTATACACTCGTGTTATCTTAGTTCTAAAGTTTCATTAGTATAATTCTAATAACAATTTACACTATTATTTTTGTTTTACACGTGTGATGCCGATTAGTTCGATCGGTTATTACAAAAGTATAACACAATAATTTGTCTCATAATCATGTTTTTAGCGGTGTCGTTGGCCTCGACGGTTTTAGTATTCGGTTTGTCGTTTCTACTTCCTACCACAACAGCTGGTTTACGGGTCTTAGCCGTGCACACGATATCGGGTAAAAGCCATTGGAACTTCATGAATGGATATTTGCATTCGCTGACCGACTCCGGTCATAACGTTACGGTTTTCACATGGTTTCCAGAGGGCAAACGGCAGAACTACACAGAAATCGTTTTGAAGGGGCCAATGCGGACCAACATGGATTTGGTTGAATTTAAAGAACGGCTAAGGCCTCCGAGAAATTTAATCAGCTACGTGGTACACAACAACAGGCAATTTTGCGACATCACATATGCAAATTCCAAAATGGGATCCATCATGGCCGCGGGCAATACCGACCAGTTCGACGTCATTGTCACCGTGTCGGTAGCTTCGGACTGTATGTCACACTTGGTCCATCGTCTTGACCTACCTGTGATTTATCTCTTCTCGTCGCCAATGCCTACCTACTTGGAGTCGTCGTTTCTGGGCGAAGAGTCCAACCCCGCGTACGTGTCGAATTTCATGTTGCCCTTCGGCCACCCCAAAACGTTCCAAGAAAGGTTGCTCAACTTTTTCACCTACAAGTACAGCACATTCCTATTGTGGTACACTGAAACGCTAGCCATCAAGTCTAACCCCAGACCGTACGACTATGTAGAAGCGGTCAAACCGTCGCTGGTGTTCGTAAACAGTCATTTCGTCGTCGAACCGACCAGACCCGTGCCTCCTAATATCATAGAAATCGGCGGTATTCATCTTCCCAAACCCAAAGCCATACCACATGTAAGTCTTAAAATTATCATCCAAACTAACCCATCTACTTTTGGTATTCTTCATATATTGCTCTTACTTTTCGGCAATTTTCTTTTATATCGACAATGGATGCTTCTACGGTTTGACATCGATAGGTTCGTTTGATTTGTTTCTTTCTTCTTATCCACATAACATTTCAGTCCATGAAAGCTTTAACACATTCATAGTTTTGACTTGTTCACGTTTGCAAGATAAAAACCCAAATCGACCAACACAATTGACAATGTTAATTATTGTGATACTTTCATATAAGAATAGATACTGTTCTCCTGAAGAGAAGAAAGCTAAGTGTAATTTATTCAAGAAAAAGATTATTGTTTATTGGATCATTCTACAATGTTTTTCTTAGGTTAAAATTAAGTTAACCATTATGTAGAGCCTCAAAATACTTAGTCACCCTTATTACATTTTACAAACACACTAAGGTTTACTATATACAAGAAGAAAGTCAACACAATTTATGAATCAGTAATTTAAATAACACACTTTATTCATCACACACATCAACACCTCTCGTGTAAACCCCTATGGAGTTTTTATTACTCTATAGTAATAAAATATAGGCACTAGCTAGAGTTACAACCGGTACATTACAAGGGTAGGACCTGTCGGCCAAACAGTGTAAGCAACATTGCTAACATAAACCTAATCGATTCAACAGTATCTACCTAATATTAATATACTCAAATTAGATTCAACACACGACTAACGAAATCGCCACGCTACCAATTTCAGAAAAAAACTCAAGGTTATTTAAATTTATTGTTTTTATGAAACTAACTATTGACTTTTAAGGAAATTGTTCTCTTCTGTAGTCAAACAGAAACAAAATAATTCTAAACATACCTGTTAAAAATGTATATTTTAAATATATTAGTTTATTGAGTATATAGAAAAATCATAAATCAATAAATACATAGATTTTTTATACTATAGATAGGCAAATGGCAATGATAATGTAATAATTAGCAAAATTATTTTACCCAAATTTCTCGATTTTACTGTGTAAAATCTATTTAGGAGCAAAAAAGAATCGTCAGATCCAATGTTTATTATGGGCATTATCCATAATTAATATAATATGATAAAAATAATTAGGTTTTCAAAAAAAAAAAAAATGTTATTTTAAAAACGTTTAGAGGCGGAATTAAAAGATGACAAGGGGGATTATTATTCAAACATCAGACAAGGGTTAAATACCACGTCAGTCCAGGGGCGACCCGACATCTTCCAATCTAACATTTTACGGTTAAAAAATAAAAACCCTATTTTTCTTTTATCTCCATATTATCCATTTTTATGAACACCCTCGAATGTACCCTTTTTTTCGGCATATTTTAACTTCTAACGCCCCACGAATAAGCAGATCTTCTGTTATTTCATTATGTTATCGATTAAATATTTTTAAAACACTCTAGGGCATACTCGAGTTCATTGAAAATTCACCAAACGGTGTTATTTATTTCACGTTTGGTTCGACAATAAGAATGTCGTCATTTCCAGACCACATTGAAAAAGCATTCAAACTGGCTCTGGGGCGACTCCCCCAGAGGATACTATGGAAATATGAGGGTGAAATGCAAGACAAACCGGACAACGTGATGACAAAAGAGTGGTTCCCGCAACGTGATATTCTTTGTAAGATTCGGAGGGATGCAAAGTGTAGACATTATCATATCTGTAACGAGTGAACCGATTTGAATTGCAGTACATCCAAACATCAAGCTGTTCATCGGACATGGTGGCATATCTGGAGTGTTTGAAACCGTCGACGCCGGTGTTCCTATGTTAGGGTTCCCACTTTTCTACGATCAGCCGAGGAACGTTGGTAGTCTCGTCGACGTCGGAATGGCCATTTCACTTGATGTGATGAGCGTCACCGAAACTCAGATTTTCGAATCAGTCAATAAATTAATTAACGATAAAAAGTAAGTAGGTACCAAAGTAAATAACGATGTAAGAATACGAAATCAGAAAGGATACACAAACGACAATTATTGTTGCGGTTTTACCAATCTTAGTAAACGATTATACGCCAAAAAAACAATACTTACTGGCAATGTGTATAAAAAGGAAAATTACTTGTATTTTTATACGATTTGTTATATTTTCTTTTTGAACAGTACGTTTGTTATTTATAATTAGGTATTCGTCTAATGCTAAATTGGCTTCCAAACGTTTCAAGGACCGGCCAATGTCGCCTGCCGATTTAGCCACTTACTGGACAGAATACGTTGTACGACATAACGGTGCACAACATCTAAAGTCGAAAGCGTTTAATCTCACGTGGTATGAATACTACCTTTTAGATATATTATCTCTGATAATCTTCACGTTTTTAACTATGGGATTTATTATTTATAAGTGTTTAATTGTCCTACGCAAACTATTTTTAGACAAATTCAAGTTGAAAGTCGAGTAATTTTTGTACTACGCCTAAATCATCAAAATAAACTAGTGTTCATAATAATTTTCATTTTAATATTTCTGGAAAATATTGTAATATTAGTATAATACCGTTTAAGCATCGTTGATACTATAATAATTTATTTGAACAGTTAAAATAGATTTTCCTAAAAATACAATTAATTTACCCTACCTTGAGTTCAAAAATTGTTATCCATTTTATTACGCCTTTTAGCGTTTGAAACATAAACTATTTTATTTACTACGTTTTTGAAAAAAAAAACATTCTATTCTTTATCAGATTTTACAATAAAATTATTTTGACCAAAAAGCACATGCAACATTTCATCCAGCGACAAGTAAGTTTAAATAAATCAAGTTAGGTATACAAATAAAAAACATTTATACTTCCCACGGTCGTACAAATTCTGTAATAATACTATTGCATCCCAGAATTGTATTTAAATCGTTTGTAAATTTAGTTGTAATTTTATATTCTCCGTAAAAAAAATGTTTCGGAAAATCATTGTTGTTTAAATCATTGACATTTAGTCCGGAGGATAAATAAACGCCCTGTAAATATTAATGATGCAAAATGAATATATTAGTCAATTAAACAGTTAATATTATAATTATCTCTTTTTTTTTTAATACTAATTTACCGGTTTTATCGGACAAGAACTTGATAAATTAAAGGCACGGGTAAAATTTTTCCAGCTATTTCCCATCAACGATTTAAGTGAATCACAACCTTTTTTCGTCGCATAAACATGAGCGTTATCTATCCATCCACCAATTGATCCTTTCACGGCAAAGTTTACATTCATCTGTGACATTAAATTTGATAGATTAAAATATGAATTTTAAATCAAATTGTAAAGTAAATAAAAAAATAATCTCTATTTTCTGAGCAGTTAAATACTTAAAAAAAAGTCTTTTGGGTCGTGCAACAATTTTATGACCGTAATGTAATATTTTCCTTTCTTAGATATTAAAAAAAAACATTTAAATTGTATAAATCTAAATGTTATCGGTGTATTTTTAGAAACACAGTGTTCGAAATAGAAAGCCTGTATGCGTTATAAAACAAAAAAAAATGTCTAGTTATAAATTTTAGCTTACTGTTAAATTTCAGAGAAAAATTGCGTTGTAATAAATGCTTAGTGCAGAGGCCTCTTAAGGAGTGTATGAACTGTATACAATCTCATTAATTTTAGCTTCCATGCTGACCTGAGAATGTATTACCTAAATAGTGGTGTATTTTTATTTATTCGTGTCTTGAACTACGATCAATTTTATCTACCTGGTCAATTTATTCATGTAGCAAGTCTATAATTTTAATATTGTACATAAAAAATAAGTAAATGTTTTTACAAAAAAAAAATAATAAAAACCAGACAGTGACATTTCTCGAGGGGATAGTCCTACAAAAACTTAACAAAAGTTCAATATTCAATTCTTTACTAGTCCTCACAACAAACCAGCACGGTTGGAAAATTACGTGCATTTTAAAAAACATTATAAGTGAATCCGATAGTGAACTATTACAGTGTATGTAAGTACAATATATTCTAAGATTTTATATTGTAATAATGTTTTTATGTAAAAACATTAAAATGACTTTACTTACGGACAACGAATTGTCGAATGGAATCAAAAATGTAAGGTTCCCCATCGATTCCACTATAGTTGGGGATTTCTTACTCAGAAATAAGTTGAATTTCAGCAAGTGATGTTCTGTTGACTCACAAGATGCATAAGCCTTAGTCTTTATTCGATATTCTCCCTGCAACGGAATATTGAAAATAAAATTGCTAATATATTATATGAAATTTGTTTTTTATATCATTAAATTTGATATTACTGCAGGTAAGTTTGGTAGAAATAATGGTTTATGAGTTAAAGCCGTTGATCCATAAAAAATAATATCAATAATTAAAAAAAATTTTAGATTCATCTTAAATTTTGTTAATAAACCAAACAATGTTGTAATTTTAAGCAATAACAATATATTTTTGAAACACACACAATGTTCGTAGCATAGATGACTTCATAATGCTTATATTTTTGGTATACACAATTATTATATTAAAGTCGTTAGTTTATAAATATATTTTATTATTTGCTACAAAAAAAAAAAAAAGCAACTGATATAAATCAAAATAACCATAATATGGTTATTGCAGATTATGTCAATTTCGAAAAACGCATCCAATTACAATATGAGTATTTTTAAATTATGATTTTGACCTTCTTTTAGGTGATTCCATGTATAGTCAAAACAATTTTTAAATTTCTGACTACATATAATTTTTTTATCGTTTGTGTAAATTACTCTTTTTATAAAACAAATTATTTTTATTATAGGCTTTGCTGTTTCTGCTAAAAATTTGGCTACACCGAATCACACTTTCTTCCAGATTTTGGCTTCAATCAGATCTTGTTGGACTTACGTCCCTAAAACTCTTTTTGAACTCACTTCCTCTGTGTTCCCTACATCAAGAGGAACCTCTATGAAATTTTAACCACAACATTTCTAACTGTCCTTTGCTCTCAAATAAAAATCTTCTTTTATTTCTTTTTTCCTCGTTAGGCTACATTTTCCTTGATTCAAATCTTCTCCTAAACTCTCTTTATCCTAATGTTATCTGTTCCATCATCAAATGCATTTATGGCGCTGATTTACTCATTTAATTTATTATAATATTTATTATATTTATTTATTTCTATAACTGACTTGCTATAATGTCACTGGCGAAATCAATATACATAAATAATAAAATATACATATTTTAGGCCGACGAGCGATGATTTAGTATTCATAAACAGTTGCCATAGAAATGTGTGAGCAATAATATTTGGCTTATGACTTCGTGAAAAGGCCACTTGATGTTTTTTTTTTTTTAAAGCATAAAATTGCTTATGTATGTTGCATAAAATGTGATTATGAACTCGTATGTGTATCACCTTAGTATAGTATTTGTTATTTTTCATTTACAGTGTATCAAAACGTTAATAGTGAAAAACGATGCACCTTTATTGAATGTAATAATAAAAATATACTATTCATAAGTACATTTTAGCGGTTATCTTCAAACAACATTACTGACACCGTAATATTAACTAACCACCAATCTCTAGATTTCATGCCTGAATTTGTCAGAACAATGTGCACAAAAGGCATTATCTTACGCTAATAAAATCAACGACGAGAAAGATTCAAAAACCAAGTGGAAATATTTGATGAAGTTTGTTGGAGACAAAGTTAAAAAGCGATCACTGGAATATTATAAAAGTAAATGTTTAAACCATTTTTATTATTTTTAGCAAGAAAACAGTGTACAAAACAATTGTTACAAAAATAATTATAAAATAGGGTGATAAGTGATAAACTAGGTTAAGTTGGCACCAAAATACCAGTCGCTTACGATTTCGTGTTTTTTACAGACACAGAAACAAACAAAACACATTATTGTAGAATTAATTATTTTTCAGCTCCACGTCAAAGCCAAAAAAACTGTTAAAGAAATATAAAATCTAAAAAAAATATTGTACACACTACCATCAACCCGTATGAAATGGAACAGGCGTCGGACTTTGAACAATTAATTTTTGTTTTGTTTATTTGAGGTATTAGGTAATGGAAATAAAGGTCATAACTTATTTTATCTGTAAATTTGCTTTATAAAAAATAAATATAACAAAATCAACTCTATTCACGCCAAAAAATATAGTGTCACCCAAAATGTTCCATTTGTCTCGGGTTAACGATACACAATACTTCTTTGTACAAAAATTACATGTTTTTTTTTTTGCAAGTTTTTCAAACTAAAATCAAGAACAAAATCTGTCGTATGTAATATTTCTTCACACTTTCTGGCTATAATTAAACTTTTACTATGCACAGGATCTCAGCGTTGGAGTTTTGGAGGTACGTGGACATCGGAATGCGCTGGGGTACGTTTCGACGTGGATTCCCAAAGCACCGTAGGCATAGACAACAACATGCCGGTGAAACTCGTAGAAAAATCAGGCGGTAAATGTGCAGGCGGATTTCTCGATAGGAATTGGCTGGCCAAAGCCAGTGGACCATCATGGTCGGAGGGACCTATAACTTTGTACGCCATAAATCAATCCACAAAAATGTTTGCTGCGTTTATAGGTAAGCTGTGTAGGTACGCCTTAACCGTAATGCTCTACAGTGTTTGGACAAAATGGTAAAAGTCCAAATAACTATTCTTGGATTGGGTTAAGTACCCACGATAACAAAAAGTGGACGGATACCAATGTGGGAAAACTTTATTTTACAATAATAGACAATATTCAAATTTTTCAGAGCTTTGTCAAATTTTAGAATTTAATTAGTAACGTGTACATTTAATTAACTTTTAAGACAAAAATAACTTGTGGCAATTTTAACTGGTCAGTAACTGGTCAGAGAAGTAGAGTGAGGTAGATTAATGCATACAGATAAAAAAATACTACACTCCACCCTTCCTCCTGTCCTAAATTTTAAACTTAAAGTTACTATCCAAAACTCGTTATCGACTAGTCAACATTTTTGTTAATTTAAAAAGTTAATTAAATTAAGTTTCTAAAATTTACAGAACTTTAGAAAATACTAAAAAAATTTTGGTAATTTTACATTAATTTTAGATGACATAAATAAAAATGTTTTCAAAAAGAAAAACTACAAAATTGCAATCGTTTTTCGGGAAAATGAGTGTCTTGCGTTAAATTAATCTCTCTGTATATAATTTAGACTTTATTAGATTTAGACCATTTTACTCAATTTTTTTTCGTAACTAGAAAAATAGAAGAGCTCTTCTAACGTGATCTTAATTCTGAAAGATCATTAAAGAACAAAATATGGTGACGTGTAATTTTTTTCATTGAAACTTAGTCTCTCAATAACTCAGTGTTTGTATGTAAAACATTAAGACTCTGATTATATTTTTAACATTTTTTTTTATTTCGAAAAATAAATCCCAACGAAACGTTATTAGATTGTCAGATAATGAATATTACTCACTTGCGATTGTCCTGCGATATTATCAATTACAGTAATACGGACACGCGGTATAGTTCCTAAAATAAAAAAGGATAACTATGGTGTGGGCTATAGCTACAACAATGCATTTGGCTTTTATATAGTAACCTTCTGAGAGTACCTATACATTTCGTTACAATGTATACATTCAAAAAAATACGAGTTGATCACGATTTTGCTGATTTGTGGAATATGTAAACATATATGTATACATTATATGGTTCTCGGTATTAAATATTTGGAATTATGTATTTTTAAGGATATCCTCAAAAACACAATAACAAAGAGTTCATAATGGGCATGTGGACAATGGGAAGATGGTCTGTGGACAATTCTGGCATGCACCAATCTGTTTACACCATACCGGATGTTTTACATAGAGATTGCTTTTAACATGTTATAACTTTCAATATGTGAAACCTTAATGGTGTTTTTAAATTTTTTTTTTTAATTGGTGCTCTATTTTATTGTGATTAATTTACATACTAAAGCACATCGTTTATCATTAATATTAATATTATTATTATTTATTTATTTATTTATTAAAATGCGGGCTAGTGTCTAAAGTAAGGTAACATTATAATATTTTGATTTAAATAAATCTGGAAAAAAAACTTTTATGTGCACAATAATAATTAGAATAATATTCTATTACATACCTACGTTTTCCATTCAATAGTATTATAAATTATAATAATATATTAACTGCATACACAACTAAAAAACATTCTTAGAATAATGCTACAAGTTAAAATAGGAAATAATAATAATAAAAACATTCATTTTATTTTTAATGAACGATAAATAAAATTGTAGTTTTTAACAATAAATGCTATTCTGAAAATTCCTTTAATATAAAATTATCAAGGTTTTTTTCAAATAATAAAATTGTAATTTATTATTCAGAACTAACAGATGACAATAAAATCTAAAAATGTTTAATCTAGTTATGATGATATTAAAATTATAATAATTTGATTATACTATTATTTAATAATATAAATTACAATATACTATATTATATTATTATGAAAATATTTTATTTTAAATTAAATATTATATGGCTCAATTTAAAACCAATTGATTTTAAAGTGTTATTTGTTTATAAGTCATATTCCTAATGACGATTTTCCCTATTCCTAATGACCTAAAAGGGATCGTTGGGAGGTAACTAGAATGAAAATTGTTGACTATAATAGTGACGTAAATAGCAGGAAGAGCGAGAGAGAATAAACTGAGATGATTTGGATAGGCTTAAAGAAAAAAAGACAAAATAATGTAACGGCTAAGAGAGATAATATAGATGGATTTAAAGACATTTTTTTGTTTTTTTTTTTTAGTAACCTGGATGAAATTATTACATTATAATTTCCAGGCCTCCTAAACTTATTAGTTGAAATGATAATAACAATTGGAGCATAATAATTATAACTGTTTCGCCACAATGAATGGAAAGTTGTGCAGCATTCACTCGAAAGCACTGGTGAGAAACTTTGAATAACAACTTTGGTAAATAGTTTTCCAGGTAATTTAAAGGAGTTATGCGCTAAGCAGTCTTAACCAAATACTTGCCCATATCTGATGCTTACGAGTATAATATTGTCGTTGTATTAAATCGCTCATTTTGCCGGATAACAACGCCATGTAATATACAAAATGACTCACTTCTTATACTTTTTGGAAAATATTCTGACACAAAACCGTACTGGCTATTCAAAATAATTAACTGCAACAGAGAATCCCAACCTAACCTACTTCAGATGTATGTGCATATTAACATTAAAAAAAAAAACCTTTTAATTCGTCACGATCAAAGTCAATATTTTTAAAAAACTCTTGTGACAAAATTATGTATTTTCGTACAAACGTATTATTACACCTAATCATAGCGGACAAATAAAAATACACTTTATAAAAATTCATATCTTTACTTACATGCACAACGTTATTACTACCTAAACTAGTCTACTAAATGTTGTGCGCATAATATATAACAACTTATTAATTTTAGCATGAATCATGCCTCCCAGCTCGAAAACGACACAAAATAACAAACACTTTTAAAGTTATTTCTCAGTAAATTTTTTTTTACAAGTTATAATTTAAAGTTTTGAAGTTGGCCGACGTGGAGGTGGTGTCTTCTAGTTGACTTGGTAAACGACTGCTGAACCGAACCCTCTGGAACGGTATTTATGCCAAACGTGGGTCCGCCTGTACGTTTCGACAAATGGAAAGCGAATTTCACATGACCGTGACGAAGCGGCCGTCAGTTGCATCGGGATTGACATTTGACAAGTTGCTTATGAAAGATTTTACAATATAATCTTTCAGGTAAATTTAAAATGCATTGTCATTTTGAACGTAATAAGGTTAGTTTTGACATTTTGAAAATTGGTTTCGAGACCATCTATATGGTATATATATATTTCATCATGGTATATTATTTTATAAATAAAATACATTTCATTAAAGGAAAGAATTTACTGTTTTGTCACAATAACATAATATTATTTTAAAAAAACGGCATGAGGCTCGTGGGATCGCCACAGGGTCAGTTTACAACCGTGCTCTTTTTTTATGTTAAGTTTTACAATTTATTAGATAAAAATCGATTCCAATATTTTTGAATAGTAAAAAAAAAGTTGACTAAATGCAAAATGTTGTGTTTTTATAAGGCTTCTTTGATTGCGAAACTCAGAATTGTACTTTAAGTTTCAACAACCCTTTGTCGAATTTAAAAAAGAATTGGTCAAAATATTGATGTCATCTGATCGATGTACCGAATGCTTTAAAACGATACTAAATAAACTCAACAGTTTCACTATAGTGTTTAAAATATAATGTGACAGATGCTTTGGATTTTACTATCTCATTGTATCCGACAACAAAAACGTCAGGAAAGATAAGGACTGCGCTGCCGAGTTATCTCAACAATTCCACAGATAATTTCTAGTGGTCGAGCAGAGTATTGCTGAGGACTTTACTGTAATAAATCAAATCAGTGGTGTATTTAACAGGCATGTCACGTGTTCACATAGATAATTTGTAAAAAAAAAATATATGCCAAAATATAAATACATAACTTATAAACCAAATTAAAAACGATTTATTCAATAGATATTTATCTACTCGTATTATAGGCGTACTAGTAAGTAATAAATACATACAGTTCACATAAATGTCACAATTTTTTTCAGAACAATAATAAAAACTAAAATAGTTCACCTGATTTCTATCATAATCAAAAAGAACATTCACACAGTACATGGCTATCATACATTACAACTTACAAGTACCTATGATAAAGCTTATTTAAGCATATCTAAGCATGACAGTCGTTGAATGATTAACTTCACACCTAGTTGGGCAATAATAACTATTATTCTTTAAATGTGTAATTAACCCAAATATGAAGTTGCATCGCACTTTAGATGCAACTCCATACTTTTGTCTAATTATTGTTAAACTTTTAATATTAAGTTTTGGAATATTATAATCTTTTATTCCAATCATCATAACTTATAAGACATATTTTGTACATGCTACGTTGAACTGGCAAAGACAGCATCAAAATATACTTTATTTACATTACATAATAAAATATACAAATTATTGTAAATGTTACCTACACCGCGCATACAAAATATTTTTATTTTTAAAAATAATGGCCAAAATAACATTTTTTTAAAGCATTTACACGAGTTACAACTTTATACATAAAATTATTGACACCCGGTATCTTAGCTGAGCAATGAGCCTGTGTGGATTAAATTTCCTCAAAAGTGTTAAAATCTCTTAAAATTCAATAATTCCTAGTTCCCGAAACCCGCGAGTGGAACGGAAAGCTCTATTTATTAAAGGGTAAAAGATAGGCAATATTTGACAAAAATGAATTTAGTTGCCATTTTTAATATACCGACTAATAATTTGTGGGGTGAAAAAATATCAAGTTTTTCTAGTTATAATACTTTTAAAGACGTTTTTCTCTGAGTTATGACAAAAGTATGATTAAAAATGACTTTTATAGAAGTCTTTAACGCTTTAAATGTCGTGTTTCGGGTTAAAGAAAATATTATTAGTACATATTTTTTGAGCTGACTCGATTTTTGCCGTCCTGAATGAACACAAGACACCAGTTGTAATTTAACACCTGGCGACTTATCGCCGTTGTGCGATTGTGTAAAACCGCGCCCCCGTTACTATATTACACATATAGGATGTATTTTATACTTGTATACATCTGAAATCGAGCAGAATTCCGCGAACGATATCAGTTATTAAGTAACAATGGCTGCGAACGGGATTATATTTTGACATGGTGCGGTTGTCTGTCTGCATTGTGCTGGCATTGGCCGTTCTGAATTTGCGTGCCTCTTGCTTGGGTGTCGACAAAAGTCTTGCCCGAAACTATGGGCCGGCTGCCCACAACCAAACGGTTTCAAGACACAAGCGTCTGGTGTTGTACATAGCGGTCGGCATTGGTCGGGTGATTGCAAGTATAAAATCCTCGAACAAAATCTTGATCAAATCCATTGTTAATTATTGCATTTTTTTTTTTTTTGTAATACACAGCTATGAACGCGGCTAGAAAACTTACCGGGTGCAAAATCGAATACGGCTGTCTCCGGGGATATTGCATCACGTATTACAGCATGAACTCTTGGTGTTACATGTGGAAACGCAATGAACGGATATCGTGCTCGGACAGTGTCGACTGCAACGGGTGTTGGCCCTGCGTCGGTTCGAAAACCCAAGGTCGTATTTAAACTTACCGACTTAAGGTAAAAAAAAACCCGCAAAAGCCGTATGTGAAAATCTTAGTCGATCCGGAAAACTCATTATTGTACATCTTTTCTTGACCGTTTTCAGGGAAACGTTTAAAATTTCAGCGCCGTACAGAACATTAACTATTTTCCCTATACCCTCTTAGCCTCGTTAAGAGTTGAGAATATATATTTTTTATTTTTACGAGGAAAAAAAATGTAAAACCACCTATTTGTTTATTATTGTTATTAATTTCATATATACATTGCAAAATAAAGGATGTGTTTCATCGAATTTTTCAATTTTTAAGAGACTGAACATTTTTTTGGAAATTGATTGTTTGCCCCAAAAGATTTCCACCCCTCTGAAAATGCCACCCTAGTCTACATAGCCTAGTTATCATTTACACTACTCTTTTCTTTTTTTTTGTTAAAAATGGTGTCCATTGGTGTAATTATCGACGACCCAGTATAAAACTGTAACTGAAGTTAAAAAAAAAAAAAATGATATCGGCTTAAAATTATTAAACAAGTTTAGTCGTTTGTTATTCGTTATTATTATTTATTTTTTAAATATTATTTTCAATTGTTACGGTTTACATTCGAAAAAAATCAATAAAACCCGTGTGGGAAATAATTTAGTCGATCACTTATTTTTTCACAACAAATTGTTGATGTTTTGAACTGGCATATCGGTATTACTAACTGATTAAAACAATGTGAATTTTAATTTGTTTTTCACAAAAACAGAAAAATGTTTTTTAACATATTTATTATACCTAAGCTAAACGTATAC